GAATCTTTATATCTACTAAACTTACCTTAACTTCAAATATTTTCGCAGAAATCACATTTTGAACATAAATATTTGGCATATTTTCATCGTTTTAGCGGGTTATTTTGTGTTTGAACATAAGGTTTATTTTCCTTTATTTTTTACCTAAACTTTATCAAGTTGTACTTTTCTGATAGACCAGGTCATGATGATTAAGAAAATATAACTTTTGTCATAGTACGATAGATATTTTTTATCCTAAATTACTTCGAAAAAATGTATATTGTGATAATCCAAAATATCGTATTTACAGTGGTTTCTTTTTTGAACATAAGTCTATTTACCCTCTAATTTTTACCCAAATTTTATGAAATTATATTTTCCTGATAGACCATTTTATGACGAATAAATACTTATGATTTTTGTCATTGTACTATATTTATTTTATTTTTTTAATTACTACGAAAAATTATTTTTTATGACCAACCAAAATGACGTAATTTTCACCCCATTTTTCGGTCTTAGGGTTGATAAAAATTTTCCAACGGTAAAATATGAGTAAGAATACCGTTCTGAAGATTTTAAAAAAAAAATCAAGTCGATATGTGCTATATTAAAGAAAATAGGTTTTCACAGATTTTCGTTTAAGTCCAGGCTGCTTACACATAGCTGTGAATACGTTGTTTTTTAAGTCTGCGCACCAAATGTAGTATAAAAAACTGTATTTCTCAACTAAACTATATAAATTTATATTTTTCTGATAGATTATATCACGCTGAATCTTTATATCTACTAAACTTACCTTAACTTCAAATATTTTTCAAGAAATAATGATTTGAACGTAAATATTTGGAAATTTTTCATCATTTTAGCGGGTTATTTTGTATTTGAACATAAGGTTTATTTTCCTTTATTTTTTACCTGAACTTTATCAAGTTGTACTTTTCTGATAGACCAGGTCATGACGATTAAGAAAATATAATTTTTGTCATAGTACTATAGTTATTTTATTTTTTTAATTACTACGAAAAAATATTTTTTATGACCTACCAAAATGACGTCATTTTCACCCCATTATTTCGGTCTTAGGGTTGATAAAAATTTTTCAACGTTAAAATATGAGTGAGAATACCATTCTAAACATTTAAAAAAAAAAATCAATTCGATATGTGCAATATTAAAGAAAATAGGTTTTCATAGATTTTTGTTAAAGTCCAGGCTGCTTACGCATAGCTGTGAATACGTTGTTTTTTAACTCTGCGCACCAAATGTAGTATAAAAAACTGTATTTCTCAACTAAACTATATAAATTTATATTTTTCTGATAGATAATATTACACTGAATCTTTATATCTACTAAACTTACCTTAACTTCAAATATTTTCGCAGAAATCACATTTTGAACATAAATATTTGGCATATTTTCATCGTTTTAGCGGGTTATTTTGTGTTTGAACATAAGGTTTATTTTCCTTTATTTTTTACCTAAACTTTATCAAGTTATACTTTTCTGATAGACCAGGTCATGATGATTAAGAAAATATAACTTTTGTCATAGTACGATAGATATTTTTTATCCTAAATTACTTCGAAAAAATGTATATTGTGATAATCCAAAATATCGTATTTACAGTGGTTTCTTTTTTGAACATAAGTCTATTTACCCTCTAATTTTTACCCAAATTTTATGAAATTATATTTTCCTGATAGACCATTTTATGACGAATAAATACTTATGATTTTTGTCATAGTACTATAGTTATTTTATTTTTTTAATTATTACGAACCATAATAATTAGTGACAATCCAAATTAACGTCATTTTCACCCTATAATTTCGGTCTTAGGGTTGATAAAAATTTTCCAACGGTAAAATATGAGTAAGAATACCGTTCTGAAGATTTTAAAAAAAAAATCAAGTCGATATGTGCTATATTAAAGAAAATAGGTTTTCACAGATTTTCGTTTAAGTCCAGGCTGCTTACACATAGCTGTGAATACGTTGTTTTTTAAGTCTGCGCACCAAATGTAGTATAAAAAACTGTATTTCTCAACTAAACTATATAAATTTATATTTTTCTGATAGATTATATCACGCTGAATCTTTATATCTACTAAACTTACCTTAACTTCAAATATTTTTCAAGAAATAACGATTTGAACGTAAATATTTGGAAATTTTTCATCATTTTAGCGGGTTATTTTGTATTTGAACATAAGATTTATTTTCCTTTATTTTTTACCTGAACTTTATCAAGTTGTACTTTTCTGATAGACCAGGTCATGACGATTAAGAAAATATAATTTTTGTCATAGTACTATAGATATTTTTTTCCTAAATTACTTCGAAAAAATGTATATTGTGATAATCCAAAATATCGTAATTACAGTGGTTTCTTTTTTGAACATAAGTCTATTTACCCTTTAATTTTTACCCAAATTTTATGAAATTATATTTTCCTGATAGACCATTTTATGACGAATAAATACTTATGATTTTTGTCATAGTACTATAGTTATTTTATTTTTTTAATTATTACGAACCATAATAATTTGTGACAATCCAAATTAACGTCATTTTCACCCTATAATTTCGGTCTTAGGGTTGATAAAAATTTTCCAACGGTAAAATATGAGTAAGAATACCGTTCTGAAGATTTTAAAAAAAAAATCAAGTCGATATGTGCAATATTAAAGAAAATAGGTTTTCATAGATTTTTGTTTAAGTCCAGGCTGCTTACGCATAGCTGTGAATACGTTGTTTTTTAACTCTGCGCACCAAATGTAGTATAAAAAACTGTATTTCTCAACTAAACTATATAAATTTATATTTTTCTGATAGATAATATCACACTGAATCTTTTTATGCACAAAACTTGCCTTAACTTCAAATATTTTTCAAGAAATAACGATTTGAACGTAAATATTTGGAAATTTTTCATCATTTTAGCGGGTTATTTTGTGTTTGAACATAAGGTTTATTTTCCTTTATTTTTTACCTAAACTTTATCAAGTTGTACTTTTCTGATAGACCAGGTCATGACGATTAAGAAAATATTACTTTTGTCATAGTACGATAGATATTTTTTATCCTAAATTACTTCAAAAAAATGTATATTATGACAATCCAAAATATCGTAATTACAGTGGTTTCTTTTTTGAACATAAGTCTATTTACCCTTTAATTTTTAACCAAATTTTATGAAATTATATTTTTCTGATAGACCATTTTATGACGAATAAATAAATATGATTTTTGTCATAGTACTATAGTTATTTTATTTTTTTAATTATTACGAAAAAATATTTTTTATGACCAACCAAAATGACGTCATTTTCACCCCATTATTTCGGTCTTAGGGTTGATAAAAATTTTTCAACGTTAAAATATGAGTGAGAATACCATTCTAAACATTTAAAAAAAAAAATCAATTCGATATGTGCATTATTAAAGAAAATAGGTTTTATGTTCAAACAATTATTATATTTTCAATTTTATCCAACTATATATTTATGTTAAAATTCATTTAAAATCTTTTTTCTTCAGGCGAACCACTAGTTACGAGCCCAGAAGTTAATGAACGACAGAGATTTATGCACAATTTGGACGAAGCAGAATGTTGTAAGCTAAATATTTTAGTATAATAATATTGTTTTAGTCAATGGACAAAAGGTAAAGTTAAATTTCTTTTTAGACAGCCCACCAGTTACGAGGTCACAAACATATATTTCAACTTAAAACATAAAGTACCAAAATCATTCAAATACATACATTTTTTTTATTATTTAATTTTTTTATTTATTTAAGATAATCTCTTTTCATATTTTTTATGAAAATTTTCTAAATCGGTTCCAAGTTGTTGACATACGTTTACCAATTTTTTTATTTTCTTTTTTTTTGTCTGAAATTGAATAGAAGATGGTATAATAGATGAATAATAATATAGAAATATAGAATATATAATATAATATAATATAATAGAATATTTTTTATATATAAACAATTACAATTAATATAACATATAATATTTAACATATATAAGGAACATATTTAAGTGAGATTTATTTTTTTTTACATAATTATTTCTTTGATAAATATTTCAATAAATTTTTTTCGTGTGTCCTTTATATTGGATTTTTGTGTTTTTGTTAATTGTTTAAATTTATATTTTATTGGCCTTAATTTATTATTTCCAATTACCTGTGGTGTATATGGTTTCACATCTTTTAGATGATATCTATGCAACTTGTCTGTTAGAGGATATTTCACGGTGACAAAATTTGCATCGCATTCAACTACAATAGCAGCATCCATTATACAGTGACCAACTTGTAACCTACTGTACAGCAGAGCGACATCCACTTACCCACTTTTTTTTAATATAATTTTAACAAGACATCACCTAGCTAAGAAAAATCATGAAATTAATTTTTTATTTGATATAACAAAGTAATAAAAATACAAAACAAAACAATATTTAACAATTTTGTATGTAAAAAATAAATATCAAATTAAATTGGTAAGATAGGTTACCCACCTAGTTACAGTTAAAAAATAATACAAATGTAATTTATTATAACAAATTAATAAAAATACAAAACAAAACAATATTTAAACCTTTTTAATATAAAAGGAAGTTAGACTTCAAAAATAATTTAGGAACTTTAGTTTATCACATATCATTTTCGATTTCCTCCATTTCACTATCACTGTCGTTAGTATCAATAATGTCGTCAGATGTCACACAAAACTGACAAATAAATTCGGTTTCTCACTACTCTCACACTCCTCTTCAAGTCCAGAGCCAAATTCTAATAGGTGTTTTTTGGTACACAATCAATATGGAACTGACACTTGCAGCCATCACACTCAAATACTCAATCCACTTTCTGCTTATCCCTCTAATGTTTTCAGACCGAGCTTTGCAAATTTTACATGTCCAATCTTCTTCTTCATCATTGACTTCCTGATCTTTTTTATCAGTCTTTTTCTTATTTAGTTTCTTCCTTTCAGAGACTTTTTTATTTTTTTCTAAATGTTTTTCTTTCTTCTTTTTGTTGTTCCATCAATTTTATTTTATTCATTTTATTCTCTTCATACTCCCGAAATTCTTTTGATGTCACCACTGCTGGTAAATTGAGACGTCGACGACATTTCCCAGTTTTTTTAGGGGATTTAGGCCATAGCAAATTCCTTTTGAAAGGAGATGGCACACTTGTACCTTGATCTGATGGTGATATAGCTTTTGCTAGGTCATTTTGCCTTTTTTCTGTAGATGTTGGTAATGGAATAGCATTATTACTTTCATTATTTACTAAAATTAAATCATTGATTGTTTCTTCCTTATCCAAATCAACAGAAACAGAAACATCCATGTTATTTACCAAAACTTGACTCTTTTGCCATAATTTAAATAAAGTTTTTTGTTCTACATCTAATTCTATAACATCTAATTTAGGATCATTGAATGTTTTCTCTAGATCACCACCTAATAGATATTCTAGATACTTATTTCCTGCTGCATAATTTTGTTTCAATGTGAGACAATCACTACCATTTTGCACAGTTTGAATATGTTGGACAGTTCTACATTTGGAGTAATCAATGGCATCTGGACACCACGGAAAAAGACCACAGGCACGAAAACCATTTACAATTGTTTCCTTTTTTAATCTGTCATTCACCACTCCCTCAAGCATAGGAGCAAGTCTTTTTTTGTAAGTGACATGCCTGAATTGTTCATTCTCCACTGGTGAACTTCTTTGGCCCATTCTTTTTTCATGGGCCAAAAGACACTCACATCAAGGGGTTGAAGTATATGGGTTGCATTTGGGTATAATGCTAGAATAAAAATTCCATTTTCTGAGCAAAATTTACTTAAATGATATGTTAGGTGAGATACATGACCATCTAAAAATAATGCAACTGGGAGAGTTATTTTATTTTTAAGTAGCCATGGGTGGAAATAATTGACAATATATTCATAAAAAACTTCTCCAGTTATCCATCCCTTATCGGATTTAGCTATCAGACTGTCTGAGCAATCCCAGATGGCAATCTTTTACCAGGAAATACAATCATAGGAGGACCCATAGCAGCAGCAGCTGATACCATAATGAGCACAGTAATAGATGTTTTTTCATTGTTGTCACATATTTCATACACATTTTTTCCCCTTTCATACATAAAACTTTTTGTCCATCGGGGCATAACATAAATCCACTCTCATCGCAGTTAAATACACGGTGGGGATTTTTTAAAATATCTAAAACGTTTTCCTGTGTAAAATATTGTTCAATTTGTAAAAACCAACCACGTATATTCATTTCAGAAACTAAGGCTCGAGATTTAGTGAGTTTTTCGACGGTTCTTCTGCCACTTCTGGATGACGTTTTAAAAATAATTGCATCCATTTTTTACCTGGCCTACCATTTTTTAAATTGTTAGGAATATATAAGTCTTTTACAAGTCTTGAAACCGAGGTGACCAGATCATATTTCACTATAGGAAATCCTCTTTTTGCTACGGCAATAATCCAGTTAACAAATAACTCTTCGTACTTTAGGTTAAGGGTTGGGGGTGGGCCCATTCTTACATCTATAGAGGTTTTACCATCTATTATTTTTTTTAATGTAGAGCGAGGTACATTAAACTGTTGTGAAGCCTTAAATGGATTTATTCTACCAGACTTCACTGCTTCTATGGCCTTAAGCATATTGCTTTTGTCATACTTAAACCTTGGTTTAGAACTCATCTTACTTAGGTATTATTTGAGTCAGTTAATCAGAAAATCTAAAAAAAGTCAAATATAAGTTTACAGACTTGGTACACCAGGTGTCGAGCGAGGGACCAATAAATGTTTTCTTGTCCCAGTGGAGAAAAGAGAGAAAACGACATTACTCAACATTATAAAAGAGTGGATTTTACCAGGGACAACGATCATTTCTGACTGTTGGAAGGTAATTATTTAAAATTTAATATTTTTTAACACTTAAATATATTAGGCATACGACTGTTTGAATGACGAGGGATATGTGCATTTTAAGGTTAATCATAGTATTAATTTTAAAGATCCCGAAACTCAGCAGCATACAAATACAATTGAAGGCCTTTGGAGACATGCCAAATTTTCGCTACCTCAATATCATAGGAAGAAAGATTTTATAGGAGGATATCTCGCTAAACACATGTTTTTAAAACAAACTAAAAATAAAAATGACGCCTTAATAGAGTTTTTAAAATTAGCTGGACATTTGTACAACGCAAATGTCCCAATTAATGTTGAGCAAAACTCAAGTGATACAGATGATAATGAAGAAACAGATGAAGAAACTGATGATAATATTGTTTATTAAATATTTAACATTGTGTATAAGTACCTACAATATACAATAAAATAAAAAAATTGAATTTCAACTTTAAAATTATTGTCCCCGTAAAAAGAATTTAAATAGGTTATACACGCTCCGTGCGGCGGTAATGCATAGTGGGGTTGAGCGCATGCGTATAAACGTAAAATCGCAAACTTTGAAAGGCTATAACTTCCAAAATAATGGTTACCGCACAAAAATTCAAACAGTTTCGAAATCAGCGTTGAAAAACACGTCTTTTTTTAAAAAAAAAAATCGAAATTCGTGAGGGGCGTGGTAAAGTGCATTTGTTCCATATTTTTTACCTACTTTTTTATGTATTTTACTTGATTTTTAATAATTTAACTAATATTTAATTTTTAATCTACTTTTTATGTATTGATTTTTAATAATTTAACATCTATATTATTTATATTTCATTTTTATAACATGATCATTTTTAATCTACTTTTAGATTCTGAGTGAAACGATGAATGTATTGATTTTATAATGATGTGTTTTTTTTTTTATAAATTATTGATTGTTTATTAATTTAACTTATATATGTCATACATATAGGATGTGCTTGGCTAAGTCGTAGTACAATATTTCGATTTTTAATGCATCATAAACCTATAGATAGATAGAATTAAAATAGATGAATTAATTGTTTTCGGTTAGAAGATGGTAAAGAAGATTGAAATTTTAGATGATAAATAAAAAGTGCTGTTTGTAAATTTAGATGGTTAGCAAAAAATAGTATTGTTTCTGGTTTTATTTTGAGAATATCTTTTAAAAGGTGGTAGTAATTGATAGCTTTTATAATAAATTCATTTTCATAATCTATAAAATATGAATAACCATGTTTTTCATATGCTTTACATCTAAATAATATTTTCTTTTCGTACAATGATATAATATGTTTTTTGAAATCTATTTCCATGTCCGATAAATTAAATGTCAAATACATTATATTGGCAATTAAAATAAAAGTATTACATAGATGTGTAATCTGAAATAAAAAACGAAGCTTAATTTATATGTTTTCTTTTTTTTCAGGAGCACTGATTACCGTTGAAAATCTTATATGTTGGGTGTTTTCATTCAACAAAATTAAATTCCTCTTTATTATATTTCCTTGCTTTATTATATTAAAAATTTAAATATTTATTTAACAATATATTTATACATATTAGATCCACCACAGGATCCAATTAATTATATTTATGAACAATTAGAAATTATTGGTGAGTAATTATTTTATAATATTATAAAATATCAAATTTTTTTATTATATTATATATTAGAGTATATATTAGAGTAATCCACTGTTGCCACAATTTTCACATCATTGTTTTTGTTTTTGGTGTACTTATATCTGGGATCGGTAATTGAGAGTTCGTACATCTTCCTCTGATTGGACAGTTTCATTGGCATCATCTATGCAATTGGGCGTTTGTTGTTCAGCGTCGACGACATCTGTATTTACCACTAAAAGTTAAAAATTAAATTAAATTAAATTATATTATGAAACTGTTATAAATTCGTGAAATTTTAAAATAAAAAACATGACATTTAGCGATTAACTCTTTATATTAAATTATATTATAAATGTTATACCTGTATGAGTTGTTTCATTGGCATCATCTATGCAATCGGGCGTTTGTTGTTCGGCGTCGACGACATCTGTATTTACCACTAAAAGTACAATATGCTGTAATTTCTTCTCCTCTCAAATAGTCTCCGTAACATTATTGTGTTTCTGAAACAGAAATTATTATACAAAATAATTTATATAAATGTTATATTTTGTTACTTACAAGTGTTAATAAATTACCTTTTTTTTATGCCGATGTAATGCTATAGACATTCCGAAAGCTAATCCACATTCTGTGCATCGATATTTGTTTAATTTTAGATGAACGTGTTGATGATGGTTTTTTAATAATCTTTGGGTCGAGTATTGTTAACTTGATGAAGCAGCATTGGTAGATTATTCATTACTCGAGTATTCATAATGTAAAACTAAAATTTAAGAATAAAGATAAAAATAATTGTAATGATCTACTCATTAAATAAAATATAAATACTTTTTTTCTTTATATTAAATTATATTATAAATGTTATACCTGTATGAGTTGTTTCATTGGCATCATCTATGCTATTGGGCGGTTGTTCGGCGTCGACATCTGTATTTACCACTAAAAGTTAAAAATTAAATTAAATTAAATTATATTATGAAACTGTTATAAATTCGTGAAATTTTAAAATAAAAAACATGACATTTAGGTAAAAGTATATGGTAATAAATTATCACCTTTTTTTTTACAGCTTTCACACTCGCAATTTTTAGTGATGGGCACAACCAACTAGTTTTGACTATCGATTGTCTATCGATAGTTTGAATAACTACCGAGTGATCAATCGAATAATAAATTACAAGAACGATTGGATGCAATTACCAAAAAAAATCGAAAGTATTTGATTACAATCGAATGTTGTAAGCAGCTACTGACTGACAATTCGATAATTCATACTACCGACTGATAATTCGATAATTCATACTACCGACTGATAATTCGATAATTGAACTATCGACTGACAATTCGATAATTCATACTACCGACTGATAATTCGATAATTAAACTATCGACTGACAATTTGATAATGTACCTAACATTGATAATATCGATAATTGGTATTATTGTGTATAGGTTTAAACATGCGTTGTTAAGGTGAATTTTAATCTATACTTATTTAAACTTCTTCATGTATATACAATCATTAAGACCTAACTTAACTGACCAACATATTGCTTCCCACTCAAAATAAAAGGTTATTAATTTTACAGTTGGACTTAGAATATGGAGCCATATTTACATTAAATTAAATTATTTTACTTTAGAAAACTATGTGATTAGAGAATTTACTTGCTGTTTGCTAGATTTAAGTTTATTGTGTCATTTTTTATTGAGTGTATTTAATTAATTACAAGTTAATTTTATGCCCTTTAATGTTGTTGAATTATTAGTTCTGCTATCATTTCTTGAAGCTTTACCAATTTGCATTGGAGAATTTTAGACAGCTGAGTCTAATAACATTCGCAAACGAACTGATTAACTTTTTAATGTTGTGAATTTTAATTTAAAATAATTAGTTTGACAACAAGTAAATTTAAGTTTAAACAATAACTTACGTTGATATAATTATTAATTAATAAAGCACTTATGGAACTTTATAAAAATTTATAAAATTATTAATATTAATATTATTCAACATTCATATTTTTATTTAGAAAAATTAGTTTGTCTAAATTGTCTGGCAACAAACGATTTCTTCTTTCACTCATTATTTGTCCAGTTTTTGAAAAAATTCTTTCGGATGGCACCGATGTTGCAGGGATTGTTGCATATTTCAATGCAATATCACTAAGAGGACTTAAAACATCCTTATGATGCTGCCAATACTGGATCAAATTACAGCTGAGATTCTGGTATGGCATTCCTAAATATTGCTTCACCAAGATGATAGCATTGCTCCTATTAGTTGTTTGACTCTGAATCGAATTAACTTTTTCAGTTAGGAAACTCCAAAGACTTTCTTCAGATTCAGACTCATTTACTTCAGCTTCATCAACAGCTTCATCAAGAACTAAAATAAATTTAAAATTTATTTTAATTAAAATATATTAGGTAATTGATTTTTACTTTTTTGGAGACATTTTTTAATTGGTTATTCATATAGTTTTTACCAGTTGTTTGATTTTGGACTAAACCAACAATTTCTGAAATGATTGAAGCTTCAGCATCATTAGCATTTTGCTGATTTGTGAAACATGCCTTTTTACTCCTGGGATCTAGGAATGCTGCATTAGCATAGTAAGGTATTGGCAATAATTTTTCAAGTGACTGAAAACGATTTCTCACATTGTTCAATAATTGCTCCCGAAGAAACTTCCCTTGACTTGTTCTTGGGTTTTTTTTTTTTGATAATGTGTTCTGTAATCCTAAATGTAAACATCAATATTGAAATGGAAAATATAAATTTTAAAAATACTAAAAATATTGTATTGTTAATGTCTAATACATTTTAAATAATTGTTAAAAAGTATAGGTTTTAATTTCATATTATAAAATTATAATAAATTATATTAATCATGATATTCTGTTTTAGAAAATTTAAATAGAATATGTACCTCTTACTAATGGTATTACTTTGGAAATAGTTGGAGCCTTTTCATACGATAGTTCTACAGTCATTTTATCAAATGGTTGCAATAAAGGAATTATATCTTCTACAACATCCCATTGACTTGGAGTTAGATTCGATTGCCCATCTCTTAATGACATTAGGACTATGGTTACAGGTTCTTTCAATTTAAATAATCTTTCTAACATAACTAATGTACTGTTCCATCTAGTCCTGACATCTTGTTTCAATTTCAAAGTATTTGTCCTCCCTAGTTGTTTCTGCTTTTCAACAAGATGTCTATTTCCAACTTCACTTCTTTTAAAAAAACCTACTATACTTCTGCATTTTTTTAAAAGAAACTTTATCTGGTCCGCATCATTATCTTCAAAGGAAACTTGATCATCATAATCAATATTAGTCATCAATGCTTGACTTACAATTAAATTTAGCTTATGAGCTGTACATGGTATATGAGGTAAATTCATTAATCTTACAGCTGCTTTAATATTACTACCACCATCCGTAACTATACCAGCTATCTTACTTTGTATGTCCCATTTATTAAATTCAGTCAACAATACTTCTGCCAAATTTTCCCCTGTATGATTGTTCAAAAGTTTTTTTGTGCACAAAACTACAGTATTAAGTTTATCACCTTGAACAAAATGTGCAGTAATAGTAATAAAGGAGTCGGTATTGATAGATGTCCATATGTCTGTTGTAATAGATACATATTTTGATTGAGCCAATAAAGAATGTACTTTAGTACGTGTTTCTTCATATAAATTTGGAATTATACTCCGAGTTAAGGTACGTCTATTTGGGATCTTGTACCTAATAATTAAATTAAATTAAAAAAATTACCTATAGTTTTATAAAACAAATTTGATTTAAGAATTAAATAATCAATACCTAGAATCCAACAACTGTACTAAATTTCTAAATCCAGTGTTTTCTACTATAGACACAGGTTGTAAATCCTCAGCAATCATCTTTACTATGGCTGTAGTAAAATATTGCACCTGTTGATCTGAGGGTGCTCCAAATCTAATGATTCGTTATAAAGAGTAATTTAACACATTTAAAGTTAATGGAAACTCATATTACAAATTATAAGAAATAAATTAAATTAGTATTTTTGTATAAGAAGTCTACAACATTACATTAATTAATTAAATTATTCATAAAAACCAATAACTAATTATTTTTCAATTGTTTGTGTAGATAAATATGTTGTAACTTGTAAACTAATTGAATAAAATAATAATATACAATATTATACATATTAATGTACATAAATATTACCTATTTGATAATGTTAATTGTTTCTGTCGTTTAGATGGCAGTTCACTCTGAGACAATCTTTTAGATGTGACGATTGTTTCATTTGTTACAGTTCTTTGATCACTAACCGATACAGATTCTACAGATTGCCCACTTAACTCAGTTGTGACTGTAATATTTTATAAAAAATAAATTTGTTTTGCTGCACAATATTTTTGTGGTTTTTCAAAAAATTGGACATTTAAAATTGAAGTGCAAGTTGTACATATTAAAGTTAGTACTTACCTGATACATTGTTATTAGGCAGTTCATTTGTAGATGCTCTTTGATGAGTTTGATGTACTGAAAAGATTCCATCACGTTCCAATATTGTCATATGATCACGTTTTAGGTGATCAATAAGATTAGATGTACTATTGCTTCTTTTGTAACTTTTTTTGCATATTCTACAAGTTGCAGAATCAATAGCGTTTGGATTTTTTGTAAAATAATCCCACACGAAAGAACGGTTTTTTTTAAACATCTTACAATTTTTATAATCGAAATTATTTCATAAAAAAAGCAAAACTGATACACATTACACAGTACACACAGACACAATACTTCAAGACTAGTAACTACAAGAGTTAATGGAATGAATAATCTGAATAATCAATAAGATTAAAAAAAAACATAAACAAACAAAATCACGTCATATTTTCATATTTTTAGAATTATAAAATTATAATGTTTATTTTTAATTTTCAAATTAATGTTATCAATTTACCGCACATTTTATAATAATATATTCAACAATAATATAAGTTATAACCATAATCATACAATGTATGAAAGATTCAAAAATAGCCCGCGAAGTGTTTTGCACTATCACTTATAATATGTATATATGTATATCACACATTAATAATATTGGTTAGTGTATATTATATTAGTATACAGGGTGATATTTTTATCATTGAACACTCATTATTTCAAAAAGTATTAATGTTTAAGAAAATATTTTTTTACATAGTTTCAAGTTGTTAAAAAACAATATTTTATTAAAATAATATTTAATATTTTATCCTTTTAATTTTTTAAGTTTTTTACTTTTTTGAATGACAACATGTAATTTTAATTTGATATTCAAAAACAGAATATTTTTCTGAGTATTTCGATACATAAAAATTGAATTTAGGGCAAGTAGTGTATGAGTTATAAGTATTTAAAGTTTAGATGAGTAGTGGACAAACATTTCGCGGGGTAACCCCGTACCATTCTACTCCGCTCATCTAAACTTTAAATACTTATAACTCATAAACTAATTGCCCTAAATTCAATTTTTATGTATCGAAATACTCAGGAAAATATTCTGTTTTTGAATATCAAATTAAAATTACATGTTGTCGTTCAAAAAAGTAAAAAACTTAAAAATTAAAAGGATAAAAAATATTTAAAAATATAATTTTTTAATAAAAATATTGTTTTTTAACAACTTGAAACTATGTAAAAAAATATTTTCTTAAACATTAATACTTTTTGAAATAATGAGTGTTCAATGATAAAAATATCACCTTGTATAATATTATTAATATTATCTGTGGACTGTGGTTTTCAATGTTTATCACTTTAATCGAATTTCTGTCGAATTTTCAATCGTTTATTTTCAGTCGAAATTTTCAATCGAATATTCAATCGTTTATTTTCAGTCGAAGAAATTTTCAATCGAATATTCAATCGTTTATTTTCAGTCGAAATTTTCAATCGAATATTCAATCGTTTATTTTCAGTCGAAATAGTCGAATTTTCAATCGAATATTCAATCGTTTATTTTTAGTCGAATTTTCAATCGAATATTCAATCGTTTATTTTCAGTCGAAATTTTCAATCGAATATTCAATCGTTTATTTTCAGTCGAAATTTTCAATCGAATATTTTATCGATTAGTCGAATGACTAATTGTTGAAAACTATCGAATAATTCGATAGTCCCCAATCGGTTGCGCCCATCACTAGCAATTTTCATTGTTATCACCGAAGAAATCTTCGCCATAATCTGCTGTAATTTCTACTCCGGGAGTTATTACTTTAGTGGTTTTTGCATACCACATCGATTCTCCCCGAAGGGCCCATTTTGTATTCGGGGTCAATCTGATTGACGTATGCAGCAGGCCCGAGAAACAACAAGTCCCTACCGTTTTTTAAGGATCTCATAATAGAAAAGTCATTAATACCTTCCTGTAAGACAAAAAAATTAAATTTAAAAATTTGAATCAAAACATAAATATGTTGTTAGTAGTAGTTTTAGTTAAGCAAAACATACCTTAATGTCTTCAGGTTTGATGATTGCGGTCTGACCGCATAAGGTTTTAATTTCTTGACCGATTTCGAAGTTTGTCGTTGCCACAATTTTCACATCATTGTTTTTGTTTTTAAAAATATTGTTTTTGGTGTACTTATATCTGGGATCGGTAATTGAGAGTTCGTACATCTTCATCTGATTTGTAAACATTTCTTTTTCCCGTTTAGTTTTTAATTCAAATTTTTTAGCTCTTGTTTTGTGCGTTTCGAACCCTATAAAAGTTAAAATTTAACGTAAGGTGATTGAGTGAAAAGCAAAATAATTTCACATAATTTTTAAATGTATAATCCTTATAAATAAAATAAATTCATTTGAAATTTTATTTATATTTTTTCTGCAAATATTCCTATACCTTTATACCTCTATCATAAAAGTCGTGAATAATTCTTCTGACTATATCTCCATCAAAATCGTCCAACTCGGTTTGAATTTTCGTGCGTTTATATGTTTTACGCGGAGATTTAAAAAATGGAACAACGAGTTGTTCGTCTTTCGAGTTTTCTGTGTTTTTCGCTTTGGAACAAATGCGGCTTACGGTGCGAAGCGAAATTCCACATGCATGGGATGTAAGTTCTTAAGCACATTTAAAAAAGTCTGGCGTTAAATCAGGTTTTTTAGATAAATTTTTTAAAAAAATATACACGCCATGTATAATTTTTTTAGATTGACTATGTATATCTTTATCATTAAAAGACATTTTAAAAAATTACAAATAACAACACTGTAAATAAATAACTAAAACACGCAGGCAATACAACACTAAACAGTTAACACACGAATGTACCTACTCGTCGATCACTTGCGAGCTACTAAAGGTTCATGCTATGGTATTTCATTCTACATTTAGTATAAAAACAACCCCTCTTTCCCCAAACAATGCAAGGGGAAATAGCAGCTGCAACAAACCATATAACAGGCCTATGCAACAAACAACCTGACAGCCATAGAATATAAACAGAACCTTATTTTTTTTATGATGTGTACAATGCACAAAATGTTACGCTGCGCGCGCGAAATACGCCGCATGTTGAGAACCACCGACCGCTGGCCGGGTGTGGGTTGGGGTACAGTCAAGGTCACACGCCACTTTTCTTGTCCCCGACTATAATAATATCTTTTAGCCGGCTTTTGTACAGCCTGCTGTTCACTCAGTCACCTTACGTTAAATTTTAACTTTTATAGGGTTCGAAACTCATAAAACACGTGCTTCAAAGTTTGAATTGAAAACTAAACGGGAAAAAGTAATATTTGCAAACCACATGAAGATGTACGAACTTTCAATTACCGATACCAGATATAAATACACAAAAAACAATAGTTTTAAAAACAAAAGAAATGACGTAAAAATTGTGGCTATCAGAAACTTAGAATTTGGACAAGATATTAAAACCCTCTGCGGACAAACAGCAATCATTAAACCTGAAGACATAAATGTATGTTTTGCTTAACTAAAACTACTACTAACAGCATATTTATGTTTTGATTCAATTTTTTTAAGTTTAATTTTTTTGTCTTACAGGAAGGTGTTAATGACTTTTCAATTATGAGGAGTTCCAAAAATGGAAGAGAAATGTTGTTTTTAGAGCCTGCTGCATACATCAATCATGATTGCTCCCAAAATACCCAATGGGCGCTTCAGGGAGAATCAACGTGGTATGCAAAAACAATAAAACCAATATCTGCTGGAGAAGAAATTACTGTGGACTACGTCGACCATTTTTTTCGGTTATAACAATGTAAATTGTGAATGTGGGAGCTGTAACAAAAACAAAAAAGGTGATAATTTATTACCATATACTTTTAGTGACATTTTATATAATTTTATTTTTTTACATTTTACTTGATTTTTAAATTACAGTAGAGACTATGAATGAACAAGTCAAACGCCAATTGCAGTCGAATCTCCTGTTAGAGAAGGTACCACTGCGGTTTTTTTCTTTTTATACATTTATCTTGCTCTCATGTCTGCCCTATTAACCACTTGCATTATTTAAAATAAATTTATGACAATATTTTTACATAATATTTTTTTATAACAGTAGTGAGTGCAAACACCTCGCATGGTGATACAGAAGATAGTGATACTGATACACAATATATTGATTCTAAAAAGTCTATGGATGGACAAGTCAAACGTAAAGTTCAATCGCCAATTGCAGTCGAATCTCTGACTAAAAAGAAGTTTACGGGGAAAATTAAGGAAAGAGAAAATATACATGAAGGTATGCATGCAAAATTACTTCGATCTTAATCTTAATCTCGATCTTAAAAAATTACATTACTTTAATATACCTTAGAAAAATTGGATGAAAAGAAAAAACATATGTGTGGGTTATGTTTTAAAAAATTTTACCACATTTCATGGATGGTACAACACATGCAGACTCACAACCTCATAAATTCAATAGAATGTAACTTATGTATGAAAAAATTTTCAACTAAACAGACACTAAAAAGACATTTAGTCTCTCATGACAATACAAGGGAGAAATACAAATGCAATAATTGTTCAAAAGAGTTCTTTCATAAAAGTGATTTGATTTATCATCTAAATACGGTACACAACAAAGAAAATCAGATTATAAAGTGTGATAAATGCGAAAAAGCCTACAAAACAATGAAACTGCTTAAGATACATTACAGCGAGATTCACAAGAAACTAAAACCATATGCATGTAACACCTGTGGGATAGCGTTCGGGCAACCTATCCAGTTGTTCCGGCATAGAAAAAAAGAGGTAATTTATAATAGATTATTAAAAAAATTTTTTAGCAAACATTATATTTTAAATACATTATAATATAATATTAAGTAATAATATTATTTTTTTCAGCAACACAAATGAGACTCCAGAAAATTTCAAATATATATACATATGTTATAATCTCAAATTATATAGTTTATTAATATAATTAATATTTTATTGCATTCAACTCTTATCAGCTTTAAAACCCTCTGCGGACAAACTGCAATAATTATTAAACCTGAATGTGGGTTATTTTTTGGTCTGTCGATCGCATTGTATCTGCATAGAATAAAGGTAATTTATTATTATTTACTTGAGTAACAAAGTATAACATTTAAATAAATTATTTTTTATAATAATTTCTGTTTCAGAAACATATTAATGTTGTGGAAACGTGATTTTTAAAAATGAGGCATGTGATGAATAATACTACCAGTGTAACCAACATGAGTAGAAATGAAATACAGTAGACGCCGCTTATAAGACTCACGGATATAAGGTTCAGTCGCTTATTAGACTCAAAATCGTCTGGAACGGTCAGGACGTATCCAAATACATTAAAAAAAATCGGTTATAAGACTCAACACTTCGGTTATAAGACTCAAATTTCGTAAAATAAATAGTAAAAAATAAACTTTTTTGGTTATAATTTAGAAATAAATTGGTATTGGAAAATTAAATAATATTCGTGTTGATTATTTCTAGTTTCTGGTGGTACCTTATAACGTATAATAAAAATAAATAATAAAATAATACAAATAAATAATCAATACATTATAATATGTACATACATTTTTTATTATTTTTTATTAATTTATAATTTTTATAATATTTTTATATGTAATATTTACCTATTATAATTATAGTTTTTTTTTTTATCAGGATTATTAAATTTATTCAATAATAAAGTACCGTCAACACGGGTGAAATGAACACGATTTTTAACTTTTCCAGGCTCCTACACCTTCAATATTAATTTTTTAAATCTGAAAAAAATCTAGTATAGGCGCGCAGTATAAATGACTACATTTGCATAAAAAAAAATGAAATTTAACCATAACTTGGTTAAAAAATAAATAAAAAGTGAGTGTTCCAAGTCACCTTGAGTTTCGGGTGACATGAAACAGTAAGGTGTTTTTAATGTTTTTGAGCATTTAACCTACTATAGGTTTGACTTGGAACACAAATAAGGCTTTTAAAACATCTTTGTACATATTATAACCTAAAGAAGTCAATAGGTAACCTAAATATTATATAAAAAATGAATTAAACACATTCTCTTTACTGAAACATTATGATTTTATTTTCTTTAATTTAGTTAGGTAGTTTAACATAAAATAAAAACTGTGTAATATTTGCTTTAACAACATATAAACATAAAAAAAAAATTATACAGCATCTGCTTTAACAACTTATAATTATAAAAAACAATTGTACAAAATTTGCTTTAACAGATCATAAACATATTTATTTAGAAACATATTTTGAACATTTTATAGCATAGGTACTTACAATTAAATAATACTTAATTAATAATAACACATGAAAGTTAACTTTTATTATTACCTAGGTAGGAACTATCTATTCAAACTGGTAATTTCCTCTTTTTTCTGAGATCAATTTTAGTCTTCTTATAATTTGGTTTCTGGTAACAGTTGCCTCATCAATAATGAATGGAAATACATAGTATCCACTCATACTTTTACTTTTCCTAAGAAACTTGCAAGTTATTTCTTCTCCATCAATTTCACTTATCTGTCCAACAAATTCTTCAAAGTTGCCTTTAAGCGTTTCAAATTTTACCAAAACAAAATCATGTGTTTCAAAATTAATTGCATATTGATTTTGTTGTGCTAATTCTACTACTCTTAGTACAGTTTCATCTGCACTATTATATTCTTTTTCGAATACTATATCATCAGTCTCAAAATTGATTTCTATAAAATCATTTAATTGATTTAATAAATAGTCATCATCTTCATCAGTCTTATTTTCTTCAGTCTTTTTTATGGTATTTATTTGATTATCTTCAGTCTCATCATTTTGGTCAGTTTCCATTATTTGTTCATTGTCTCCATCTCTTGTCATATTTGCCTCTGTAACACTTCTGCCTGGTTCTACATTATACTTCTTACGCCTTCCTTTTTTAGTCACACCATCGTTAGATCCAAATCTTGATTCTTTTAACATATCATGCATTGCTTGAGGTACTACAATAGAAGCTGGACTTTCATTATCTGGAAGCTTGTTTAATACTTTTTGACGGTCTAATGGGTAATATACCTGTGGCTTCAAATCCAGATTTTATGTTGTCTTTTTGTGATATATTGAGTCTTTCAATAGTACTTTTTAGTATTTTAGGAAAAATATCTTTGGTAAGCGGGCCTCTTTTTTTTAATTTATGTTCTTTTAGCACCTTCCTCCAAGCTATTTTCATGGGGCGAAAACAAGAAACATCAAGTGGTTGGGTTAAATGTGTGCTGTTGGCTGGCAGAAATACAAATTTAATGTTTTGTTGTTTACATAACTTGACTATATTCACAGAAATGTGACTTGCTAGATTATCACCTATAACGACCTTTGTACCCTCTAATCGACGAAAGTGAGGAATGATGATAGTTTGGAACCAATCTTCAAAAATCGATTGGTCAAACCAGCCGGAAGGTGATCTATTGTAACGGCATCCATCTGGTCCACCTAGTGTCCATGGCTCCCACATCTGTAGGGACTTATAAACTACATATGGCGGTAACATGCCTCCAGATGCATCTACACAAAACATGACAGATGTTGCAGATTTTGATGAATCCATTATTGAATCAGCATGTTTTGCATTTTTACGAATCAGAACTTTTGTTCTACCAGGATCGTCAATGAAATTTGTCTCGTCATAATTAACAATGTTTTGTGGTGGAATGTTTTCCAGAGTTACTGCTAAATTATCAAAATATGCATTTATGACTGTTCTTGATACAGCTGCTCTAGATCTTTTAATATTTTCAGCTAGCCTAGGTTTTAGTAAAGAAGAGTGTCGCTTAATAAAAAGATTATACCATTCGTGGCCAGGCAAATTCTTATTGAATTTTTTAATTTTTTTTCCTTGTCGATCTAAAT